CAAAAAATAAAACAAAGAAATTAAATTCAGCAAACGCTATTAACGAATAAAAATAACCAAATTAAGAAATCTGAAAATCTTACCGAGATAAAAGCAGAGCTTAAAACGGCTTGCACAATGCAAGTTTTGTGAAGTAACACAAAATTAAGCATTTAAAAAATAGCTTTATATAAAAAAGTGCAGAATGTAGGCTAATCTAATGTTTTTAAACAGGGAAAAGGCAGAAAAATAGGGATAATAGTGAAGCAATGAGTGTACATACCAAATAGTCCCAAAAGAATGCCGAGTGTACTAGTAAGATAAGTAACATAAATGTAGATGAAACAGACTATAATAAAAAGCAAAAATGTTCCTTATCATCAAAACGGCTAATACGAGCTTTTAAGAAAGGCATAAAAAGGTATTTGAAAAGTACATTTTTACAGTATTGTGCGTTATTCAGATAACTTACGCTTTGTATCGTTCGAAGGCATTTGAAATATCAGATGGCAAATTTACATTCTGAGTTACTGTTTGAGTTGGCCATAAGCCAGAAGTTAGGACGCGCATGCAAAGCTCCAACCCAACGTTCGCATTTGGAGTACGCACAAAATCTTCCATGAGCATTTTCGAAATAGCCATGTCCCGGAACATACCCTCCAGCTTGTTTGTGAAGACGCCACCACATTCAATCATCAACTTAGAAATCATACTTTTTTCTTGATCGTCAGACTGACTCTTTCCTAAAAGTAGTCGTTTGGCCAGATGCTGTTTATAGTATCTTTCAAACATATCCTTTTCTTGAAGATACCTAAATAATACTATGCATTTGTCAAATACAAGATCAACATCTTGATCGGCCATACCCTTAGTACCGCGTTTTAGCTTCTCGTCGATAAAGAGAGATAGATATTCAGGAGAGCGAGGATTTAGATTAATAAAGTATTCAAAATCTGAGTTGACCTGATTCCTAAATATAATTTGATTGGAAAGTGCTTCATTTAGGAGGGCAGTTGTCTGGTCGCGGAGAGTAAGAAGCTTTTGAATGTAATCACTTGGAGAGATATTGTCATTAGGCTCGGTAATGCTTCGTCCTTGTTCTCGAAGATAATGGCTGATGCACTGACTCATTATCTTAGGGCCTTGATCAACATGATTCAGTACAGAGTACATGGCCGCTATACTATCATAACTGGCGTTTACGAGCATTGAAAATAGACCGGTATTTGGCATATCAACAACAACTTGCATATGACGCTCAATGAGCTCCCGCTCGATTACACCTATTATTTTGTGTTTTGTTGATGGATCAAGATACTGATTCACACGCTTTATCTCCTCTTCGAGGCGCTCTTCCACCCGTTTGATGTAAAGGGGTGCGGAAATATTCTCTGTCAATAATCTTTCGCCCTCTTTTCTATAGGATTCAATTGACTGTTCGATAAAAATCTCTTCAAAATCTTCGATGTAAACACTCAGGTCAGAGGCACCTAAATCCACAAGCATTTTACAGGCGTCACGAATTTGAGATTTCGATATGACCTCGCCGTTTCTCTCTTTTCTTATCATTTCAAGCAAAGTCGCTTGAAAGTGATCACGTATAGTGGGATGACGAAGCACGTGTTGACAAAAAACGCGCATTCCCATTTTGTAGACATTATCAAGATTATGTTGAACCACGTGAACACGGTCCATATACATGAGTATATCGCGAATCATAACCATGGCTGTCTGATGGTCTTTCCAGCAAGAATTAAGGTATGAAAGAAATTTGTTATTTAGGTTGTCAATAATACTGTCACGGACTCGCAGCATGTGATCCCGAACTACAGCCTCGGTACCTGCATACAAACGTTCACCATGTTTATGAAGGACAAGAGTGTATGCATTTCTATATAGTTCCTCAAAGCTTAAGCCACTGTTATTCTTTTTCTGAATTTCAATTATCGCCTTCTCTAATTGCTTCCAAATTTGATTAACAAATCTTTCATCCATGTGAGAGGGGAAAGCCCTAATTCTCATCCTAGATGCATCAGAACGACGAGCATTGCCGCTTGCCGACATAATCAGTTAATTTAGTGAAAGCTAAAAGGAAGGTTTAAAGGTTGGATCAAGAAGAATTGAACAGCGTAAGAAAAAGAGATTCACCGACAGGTTAAAATTAGGTAGAGATCAAATGAACATAAATAGAAGCGAAAAATTGTTTGAATATGGAAAACAAAGTAACGAACATATTAAATAAAAAGGTTCGCAAAAAGAGGACAGCGAGAACAATATTATTAGTAGAACGCACACAAGTGAAGAGATCGCGAGCGAAATAGACTGACTGACTATGATTAAATAAACAATGAAATCAATCCTTAAAAAATTAACAAAAAAGAAATATAAAAA